GGGGGGGGGGGCAGAGACGGCAGATTCTTGTGAGCTGAGATCTTTGGGGCACGCACACCAAGTTGGGGCTTTGACAAGCTATGCCTGCCTGCGGGTGCCCCGCCTGCACCTGGGCCTCCGCGGAGGAATCTGCAGCCCGGTCCAGGCTGAGGAGGGTTTTCCTCTGAGAGAACAACTGAAGACAGGTCAGGTGCTCCGGAGAGAAGGAAGGCGAGGAAAAGCCCGCGGCTCTCAGCCAGCCCGTCTCCAGAGCCCTGGGAGCCCTGTGCGCACTCCTGCCACCCTGCGCTGCTCCCTCACTTAGCGCAGCTCCCCTAGGATGCAGACGCAGGCTTTTCAAGTCTCTCCTTCATCCTTCCTGCTGCCGCTACAAGTCGATGTCACTCTGGGGCCCAGCATCCCCACTGAGCCCAGCATCCCAGGGTAAATAGCCAAACTGCCTGTCTTGTTGTTGTTTGTTTTGTTTTATTTTTTTGGACCTAGGGACTGAACTTGGGGCCACTCTGGCCTGACAGGAAACTGCGCCTCCCAGCGACAGCCTCGCCGCTGGATTTGCTTGCGCCCCACTGTTTAGCGCCGTACTCTCCCCTGCCCAGGACCCTCAGCGCTGCTCTTCGTGTGCTTGTCTCTGACTCTGATCAGCAAGTCAGCTGAGGACTCAACCCGTAGCTACCTCCCTGGTGCCCACGCGCTGCTCCTGAGCGAGGACTACCGGAGATCAGCAAGCAGTGCCAAGGAAGAGAGGCCGGGGCCTTCACGCTGCTCTGAGTTCCGTGCAGGTGTGGGAGCGACAACTGGAGAAAGCAGGGCCCACAGGTGACTTGCATCTGGCCTTCCTCCCTCTCTTCCTGGCCTTCTGGTTCTCCTGAGTGTCCTGGACAGTCACCTCTCCACGGCTACGCTTTGGGATACAGCCACGGGGAACTGACAGGAACTGACCAGGGCTCTGCGTCCCCAGGTGGGAGATGGTGGCAGAAAGGGTGGCATGAAGGGGGCGGCCAGCAAAGGATGTGGACGGAATGGAAGTCGTACAGTGCTGGGGCAGAAGCCTCCGGCAGCCTCCGCCTCCAGCCTGGCTTGCAGAGGGCTCCCCATGGTGCCAGCGCGCTGGGCCTTGAGCCAGCCCGGAGGTTGCTAGAAAGCTCTGCCCCAAGGGCCTCTTGTGGACACTGGCGCACACGGTCAGGTTTGTGCTCTGGGACGCAGAGCTGGGCTTCTCCACTGGCCATGTGCTTGCCTGGGATTGTGGCGAACGGGTTTTGATTTTAAAAAACAGAACCACCGCGGTCTCTTTGCAGCTCCTTCAGGATGGATCGTCCGGTGGCATGGGATCCAACTCCTACTACCGTCCGTGGCTTCCTTCTTGGCGCTCAGACCACGTTTAAAAAATAAACACTAACATCACCTCCATTTTGGTTCAAACTCAGTGAGTACAGCATGTATGAAGTCTTTGGAACATATAAAAGCAATAAAAATTGCTTATAGCCACAGTGTATGTTTTGGTGTATTTCCTTCCTTTTCTCTAGCGTAATTAGGTTTATACTAACTTTCTGTCTTCCTTTAGCATTAAGCTTTGGGGTTTTTTTTGTTGTTGTTTGTTTTGTTTTATTTTTTTGGACCTAGGGACTGAACTTGGGGCCACTCTGGCCTGAGCTACTCCAGCCCTTTTTTACTGTTTTAAAATTTAGAGACAGTCTCACAAAGTTGTCCCAGCTGGCCGCATACTTGTGATCGTCCTGCCTCAGCCTCCCAAGTGCCACATGCACAGCTCGCTGATAATTCTTTTCCCTGGTTCTAAACATGTGTAATGTTACATCAGTGAACTGCAAATTATTGAATCAGTTTCCCACTTACCCATTTTTAGGACATTTTGGTTGTTTCTAACATTTGCTCTCTTTTTTTGGAGCGAGTTTTGAGATAGGGCCTCATGTAGTCTACATAGTTCTGTTGAATTTCCTGCCTAGCCCAGGCTGGCCTCGAACTTGCAGTGATCCTCCTGCCTCGGCCTCCTGAATGGTGGGATTCTAGGCGTGCCCCGTCAGGCCCAGCTTCAATTCTTCCTCTCCTAGGCAGTTTTGTGGGGAATTCCTTTGCACACAGCCCTTCACTCAGTGACTGACTCAGAATAGATGGTTGTAAGTGAACAAATGTTCCGGGGTCCCTGGCGCCTCTCCCGAGAGAGTTCAGTAGGATCCCTGCTTACTGTGACCCTGACATGCCCCTGCTATGAGACCAACAGTGACCTCTCATCCCTTGCCACAGCCCAGAAATACTGGGACTTTCTAAGTGACACTTGCAGCCACGCCCGGGGTGGGGGGGGTCACGGAGGTACATGGTGAACCAGTGAGAAGGCGTGTTCTGTGGTGACAGGAGGGGGCCTGCCCCTTAGCTTCCTCTGTGACCCTGGCCAGGACTCTGAAAGGGTAGCTCCATGCAGCGGCAGCAAGGCGGGAATCTTTGTGTGCTGGGGTCTGGTCCTCTGTGGCCTCAGGTGGCGGTGAGGCCTAGGGCTGCCGGGCCTTCTCGGTGCACTGTCCCACCTGCTCACAGTACCAGCGTGGAGGGAGGCTGGCGAGGTGGGCAGAGGGTGGGGGACAGGCGATTCGAGGAGGCCGTGGGCCAGAGCCGGCCTGCAGTGCAGTCCACATCCAGAACAGCCCACGCGGAAGCCTCATCCCACCGCCCCTGCCACCGGGCACCGAGATCAAAGTCACCGCGCACACAGCCACTGCTCTTCCACTCTGTGGGAAGACAGAACCCTCAGGGTGGAAACCAGCAGAATCAGCCACCGCTGGTCAGCCTTGCCTGGCCCCAGGCTCAGCGTCCTCTCCCTCTAGGCAGTGGCCTCCTCAGGGCCGGAAGGCGTTCCCACTACTAGAGAGCAAGCTAGCGAACCCTGGAGGAGACGAGGGCCAGGGGTGTAGCTCATCGGCACAGCGCCTGCCTGGTGAGCTCCAGGTCATGAGTTCAATTCCTAGGGCCAGAAAGCCAAAAATGAGGCTTGAAGGGAAAGGAAGGGTGCAGACTCCTGCTGGGGCATGGGGAGAAACTGAGGGTGAGGGAAGAGCCAGGGGCTGAGGGCACAGGAGGAAAAGGATAGCAGAGGTCCTTGCACACAAGATAGCATGGCCGTGGTCTGGTTTAATAAGGAACTTTCTTCCTGGGGCCATGTGCCCTCATAGGCCATCCCACTCATTACTCAGAGGCACCAGGCCTTAGCACCTGGGGCCCCCAGGCCTGCTGCCCAGCACCCCACCAGAGCAGGACCAGCTGCTGCAGTGTAGACTTCGGCACCTTGAAGTGTTTTTTCTCTAGCTATTTACACAAAACAAGACTTTGGAAGAGGAGGAGTCCTGGGCAAACAAGCACAGGGTGGAGGAGGGGTTGGAATGCAAGCCCCACAGAACCACTGGCAGTTCCATGCCAAGGCTCCAGAGGGCCAAGGCAGACCCTGCACGACACTGGGGACTGGCCCTTGCCCGGCCTGACACCAGGCTGGCCCCTGTTCTGTTCCTGTGACCAAAATACGTTTCAACGCGTCTTGTGCCTCCCTCTTCACCATAACTTTCACATCAGCTCCGCAGAAAGGCTTCACAGAGTTTCAGATGTGAAACAACACACAGCTGTAAGGTAGAACCCGGCCAGGAAGTGCTGTCACAACACCACTCAGACGGTGGGGACCAACAGCTCTCCAGGCCTGGCCTGCAGGGAGACGCTGTGGGTCACCATCTTCTGCCTCTCAGCATGGCTGTGCAGACAATCATGGCGGCCTCCCTGCACGGGGGAGCGGTCCACGAAGGGCGGCTTAGATCCAGAGCTGGGCAACGTTACGTGCCTCTCTGGCTCGCAGGATCCTGGCACGGAGCCTGAGCATTCCCACCAAACACGCTGCCTCTTGCGCTACGGCTACAGCCGTCGCTGTCGCTTGACGAGACGGAGGCCTCTAGCGCTGTACTGAGCTATTTTTCTTTTCATTCTCAACCACGCCGTGAGTACACTTCAGGCAATAGCCCCAGTGAGCGTGGAAAGAGTGACGGTTACACATGCATAAACACACGTGTACTTCTCTCTCAATACAACTCCTAAAAGTGATTAACACTCTACTATTTTAATACTTTACACAAATTAAAGTATAAGTGTTATGTGTGCTGTTATCATCAAAACAATAAAACATAGGAGCAAATGAATATATTGTCGCGAATCATCTATGAAGGAGGATTCCTACCCTACGAGAACGCCTTCTATTGATCTATTTACAGTATTTTTTGTAAAAGGACTTAGTATGATTAAGTAATGATCTTTCAATATAAATCTGGGTGAAGGACGAGCAGGTCCTTGTGCCGGTAAGCCTGCCTCCCTAGAGGATTTCCAGGTATTATGCCAGGAGTGTGCGCGCCCTGCCCTACGCGTCCCCTCTCCATCCGTTCCCTCTGGGCGCAGACCTGGGTGAAGGCATAGTGCAGCACCGCAGGCTGGACTTAGAAGGCTGATTGGCGGACTAGCGCCAGCCACTTAGGAGCGCCTGCGGGGGTGGAACAGCTCTCCGGGCCGAGCCCAGGGAGCGGCACCGGACAGGCCACAGGCCATGAAGCACAGATTCCCAGTGTGTGCCAGTGCCAGAGTCTCCAGGGGAACCAGCGGATTAACTTTCCCAGCCTTTTCTAGCTCGGTGCAGGGTTCCGAGGGCACCAAGACATTGTGGAAGTGTCTTACCTGAATCCCGGGATCATCTTGGCAAAGCCGATGACCTTCTGGATGCTGTAACTGACCAGGTCAGCTAGATGCGGCAGCATGGAGAGCTGGGACAGGTCTAGGTTTACCGAAGAGCTGTCTAAGTCCTCTTCTACGTTCAAGTCCAGGTCAGAGAAGCCAGAAGGCTCCACCATGTCTGGGGAGGATGAGAAGAGGGGAGCTGCCCGAGGAAATGCAGGCTGGGCCTGTCCTGCTGTCCCTGCGAGCACCCAGCGTGTCCTCACAGCAGAGCCCACCACGACCGCTTCCCTTGAAAGGGAAGACCCGGCCTTCCCAGGCCTGGCCCAGCCTCTTGCTTCAGCGTGTGAGGCAGTCCAAGTCAAAGAGCTGGAGGAGAGGCGGGGAGAAAAAGCCTCCCGGGAGCCAGGCTGCTGGATCTGCGGGCTCCCGTCCCTTGGCACCTTAACCAAAAATGAACCTGGAGCTGGCCTGTCATCCCAGCACTCAGGAGGCTGAGGCGAGAGGATCATTGTGAGCTGGAGACCAGCCTGGGTTAGCCTGAGCTGCACAGGGAGACCCTGCCTCTAAAAAAATAAGAAGAGAGGCCGGGGAGATGGCTCAGTAGAATAAGCGCTTCCCTGGCAAGCGCAAGGGTCTGAGTTCAATCCCTGGTTCCACAAAAAAAAAAAATAAATAAAAAAAATTTAAAAATTTTAAAAAATACAAAGAGCTTGGGACCTCCCTTGTGCTCAAAGGAGGCCCTCTCCACGCTGCACCCACAACTGGAAAGAGACACGGTTACGTGCTGGTGCCAGTGTGTGGGGGATGGATGTTCTAAATCTGAGCAGCTAATCCAGAAAGCTATGTGACCTGAGGGGTCAAAGGCCTACAGTTATGTGCAACCTTCAACAGGTAGTCTCATTTCTATTAATTCATCATAAAGAAAAATATATATATTTATGCGCAAGGAAGGTATTATCTTACCAAAAAGCTGAAAAGCAAAGTATACATTCAATGGTGGGATTCACTGGCTTTGTTACAGCTCAGAATACCATGCAGCCTCTTGGTGCATAGCAAGCGACATGGAAATACCACACAATGCATCAGCAGGAGCGAAAAGGCAAGCCAGTAGACTACACAGCACAAACGCATCTCGGAATATACATATCTGTAACTACAAATGATGAATTGATATCGTAGCATTAACAGTAATTTTCTTTAGGTAGTGAGATTAAAGATTCTATAATAAAAATTTATGTAATGTCATTTTTATTAATGTGTTGTCTACATGTCCTATAACTCATTTTTTTTTCAAAAATTAATGATCTTGGGGCCGGGAAGATGGCTCAGTGGAATAAGCACTTCCCTGGCAAGCACAAGGGCCTGAGTTCAATCCCTGGTTCCGGAAAAAAAAAAAAAAATTAATGATCTGACCCAATACTATTATTTCTTTCTTTCTTTCTTTTTTTCTTTTTTTTTATGGAACCAGGGATTGAACTCAGGCCCTTGCGCTTGCCAGGGAAGAGCTTATTCCACTGAGCCATCTCCCCAGCATGACCCAATACTATTACGGATTACTGGACTCTTTTAGAATATTTTGTTGAGTTAACACATCTATAATATTTAAATGGGGGGCCAGGGAGACGGCTCAGTGGAGTAAGCACTTCCCTGCCAAGTGCAAGGACCTGAGTTCAATCCCCAGTTCTGAAAAAAAAAAAAAAAAGCTGCGCTATTTGGGGGCTTTAATGGGGCTGGTGAGACGGCTCAGTGGTCTAAAGCACCTACTTAGAACAAACTAAAAGCACAGGGACCACGGTTCAATCCCCCAGCACCACATGCCAGCCAGCCCCGCCCCCTGGTGGGCTGAGTTGGCCACACACACACACACAAATTTAAAAAAAAATATTTAAATGACGGAATTAGACAAAAAAAAAGGGGGATATATAAATGAATGTCCATTTTGTATCTGTGTATTCAATATGGTTAGGATAGATATATAGTTACATTCTCTTAATGAATAGAGGGATTTGTTGTAATAGTGTTTGTAAATAGGATATCATGTCTGCATCTTGTACAGTAAATAACTACTAGGAGGAGAGTATACAATGTGTTAATTATTGAAACTATCCTACTATTTTGAATGGAAACTGTCTCATTGCTATTTGTCTGTCAATAAAATTATGGGAAAAAAAATTAAAGATCTACTAATGGGCATTTCAGTGCATAACATTGGCTGCTACTTTTTAAAATATATATAAGCAAAAAGTTTATTAGTATATAAACTTCAAATTTTCTATGTTGAATGTGTTATTACCTTTGCATACCTTTTTATTTTTATTTTATTTTTAAACATTATTTATTTATTTATGGTGTGTGTGTGTGTGTGTGTGTGTGTGTGTGTGTGTGTGGCCAGCTCAGCCCACTAGGGGGCGGGGCTGGCTGGCATGTGGTGCTGGGGGATCGAACCGTGGTCCCTGTGCGTTTGCCAAGCTTGTTCCAAGTAGGTGCTTTAGACCACTGAGCCATCTCACCAGCCCTGCATACCTTTTTAAATTGCAAATTTGAACTTGTTTGAAATTTTAAATAAATAGATGCTGTCTGCAGCAGACCAGTGGTGGCCACGAGGCCCCCAAGACAACCCACCTAGGCACGCCCCTGGATGATCCTGAATCTGTGGGATGATTATTAGGAGCTGGAGTAGAGATCAGTGTGTACCTTGTGCAACTTGGCCCACTGATACAGCTGAGCGTGCTGCTCCGTGAGAAGAGCAGAGCTTACCGCGGCCCAGCCCTGTAAGGCGCAGGTCTGGCAGGTGTGTCTGTCCCTTCAGGGGGCAGCGCTGGCCACGTCCTCCTGTCACCTGAGGCTGGGTGTATGCATCTGCCCCACTGCTCTGTCCGTGCAGCGTACACAGGGACCCCTCCCACCTCCCGGCGGGGCCCAGCCTGGTCACTGGGTCAGGTAGCACCAAACGTGAGGGCTGCTGCTGCCCGGGGTAGGGAAGGTCTCCACCCTGCTCTCGGGCAGGCCCTCCGTGGAGGGCCCGGGGTTGGAGGAGAGGCAGGAGGAGGGACAAGCGCAGGAGGGAGAGGCAGGAGATGACTGAAGATGGGGAGACGGAGTGCGTGAGGAGAAAGCCCTCCATCCCAGACTCCGGGAGCTGGAGGAGGCAGGCCCCAGGCTGCGCAATGGGCCTACACATTCTCCTTCCCACTGCAGGCCCACCTCCCAGTGTGGCCAGGGCCACTGAAAAGAATCAGCTGCCCCCGGGGAGCGAACCCGAGCTGGCTGGGCAGAAGGAGGCTGGGCTGCCTGTGGAACCCCTGCGAGACCCTGTCCCAGCCCAGCCTATGCAAACTTGGCCGCATTTTGGGACAGCACAGCTTTTCTGAGCACACTGCCCGGCCCAGGTATATAAACGCATCTCTCCTTAGGGAGTTCCCTGCCTCCTCCCATCAGCAGGGCAGCCGAGGGCAGAGGGTGGTTCCTGGATGTGATGGTGGCAGGCTGGCTTACCTAGAGAGGCGGTGTAGATATCAGAGCCAGAGGAGGAGGACGAAACCCCGGAGAAGCTGGTTGAGCGCGACAGACAATGGTTCTCTCCAGGAAGTCGGATTGGAGGCTGGGAGGGAAAGGTAGGGTCTCAGACGCCCCCACTCTTTGGGCTACCCGCCTGCCTTGGACTTGACCTCTAACGGGAGTCATTTGGAGGGAGATCAGTGGAGTGGGAGGCTGCCCCTGCCAGGCCCCGGGCCCTCTGCTCCGACCCTGGCATCCCCTGGAGACCCTCCTGCGCCCGCCCCCTCCCCACCCCCAGGCGGCAGGCTGTGTACCCGGAAGTAGCTGAAGTCGGCGTAGGTGGGGTCGTAGGTCTTGTGGTGGGCATCCAGCAGGGTGGCGATGATGAGCTGTTGCTCTTCAGACAACTTGGGTCGCAGACTGTCCTTCAGAGCCTCCTCCTCCTTCCGCTTCAGGATCATCTCTCGCTTGCGCTGCACCTCCTCATCCGTCAGGATGACTGTGGGGTGGGGAAGGGGAGTCGGAAGGGCGGCCTGCAGTGCCTTCGGGACACCTGACTCCAGGGACATCAGGCTGCCTGGAAGGGGCTGGCTGTCTTGCCTTGGGGCTCCCTGGAGGCCCTGCTGCTGTGGGCAGCTTCAGTCCCCAGAGAGAGAACATCTGCCCTTTGTGGGGTCCCTGTGAGAGGAGGACTTGAGAGGCTGGCAGTCTGCCATTAGAACCTGTATGCTCAAAAATAAGTCTCAGGGTCCGGTGTGATGGCAAACACCTATAAGACCAGCTACTCAGGAAGCCAAGGCGGAAGAGCCCCAAGTTTGAGCCCAGTCTGGTCACTTTAGCAAAAACCTGTCTCTAGATAAAGTAGGGGCCTCGGGATGTGAATGCCGGGCCCGCACGTGGGAGACCTTGGCTTCGATGCCCAGCATGCTAAGAATACACAAGTAAATCTGTGGCAGTGGGCTGTCCCTTGTGGGACATGGGACTAGCTATGCAAACGTTTTGAGTGTTTGTGGCTCTATTAATAAAGTGAGAAAATGGGGCCAGCCCATCTCCTCTAAGGTACGTTTCTTGCTTCTCCCTGTGTAAGGAAGGCGAGCATGGTAACACCTCCTGCTAAGGACAAACTGATTTGAGGATCAGACGGGCCTGGCAGAGCCCAGCTGCCCACTAACCCATAGTCTTGTCCCTCCCCCAGCCCCAGCACGGTCCCCATCCTGCAGGAGATGCCAGGGGAAGGCAGGAGTAAAGAGGAGCTGTGTCACTTTGGCCCTGGGAGGCAGGGGTGCAATGTCCCAGCAAGGAGCCCAGGTGTCTCCGGCCAACACAGAATGACTCTGCCTCTTGGCTTCTCTGCATAGCAACGGCTCCTCTGGCCTGTCCAGTCTTGAAATTTCTGCTCCAGGAAGTGTCGCGCTCTCTCGGAGTGCCTAAAGCCTGCCGCCTACGGCTCTAATCTGGGATGCCCTCTCCAAGGTGCTGCTGGCATCCACATGGGAAGCCTCTGCCACGCGGGGGCTTGAGCGGGGACTTCTGCTGTACTGCGGTCACTGCCTAGGGTTGGGGGTGGGATGGGGCTGCCTCACACAGCAGCTGGGCAAGCAGACCTCACGGCCAGGGTTTGCAGAGTACTGACAGCAGGAGTGGGCACTGAGGTCCTCAGCCTGTAGCTACTTGCTCTGTGTTGGCACTGCCCAGGCATCTGCCCACAGAACTGGGCGTTTCACAAGAGCAGGACAGGAACCAGAACCCCAGAGTGGGTGGGTTCCAGACTTTGAAAAGGTGAGTTGGCTCAGGCGGCTGATAGGAGAACCCTGGAGAAGTTAGTGCTGGTGAAGATGAACCTACAGAGAGAAAGAGAGAGAGAGAGAGAGAGAGAGAGAGAGAGACAGAGAGAGA